GTGGTGCAGGGTGCACTCCTGGAGTGTGCCCTGAAGCAACTGGTGGCTGGGTCCTCCAAAGAGATGCTTTAGCACCTGGCCAGAGCATCTCTATGACCACCACATGCCCCTGCTATTCCAGAATGCTATTTCAGTGTGATGGAGGAAATAGAAGCAGGGCAGGTTGGCAGCAGTGGCTCGGAGATGGCTGGGACCCAGGCTCTGTCCCCAGTAAGCAGGGACTTGGAGGGTGGGGGGACTGTGTGGGGATGGGGAGGACTGTGGGGGTGGGGGGACTGTGTGGGGTTGGAGGGGATTGTGTGGGAGGGGTAGGTCCCTCACCCGCTTCCCATGGTACACAGTTCCCACTGCCAGTGGCAACAGCAGCCAGCAGTGGACCCTCTGGGCACTCATGGCCCACTGCAGGCAGAGGACCCCAGTGGAACATTGCACCTCCTGAGACCCGGAGGCTACACATAACACATGGGGTTGGCTCAACCCACTGGCGCGAGCCTTCAAACAGGACCATGCCAGTGCGTGGTGGGGGGCTGGTAGGCATGCGGCAGCACCCCCACAAACCCTACACCCAGAACACCCCCCGCAAACCTCCCACAATACATCTACAAACCCCACTCCACCACATTCCCACACCCACAAATGCCCCCAGAGTCCACCTGCAAACCCCACAAACCACACCCCCACAAATGACCCTACAAATCCCCACCCCACACTTACACTGCCATACCCCTTCCCCAACCCCCAAAAACCCCACATCCCTCCATCAATCTCACACCCTGAATGCTGAGCTCCCAGACGGGATGGGTCCTGCTGGAGGGAGCCCCAGCTGCAGGGGCAAATGCTGCACTGGAACCCTGCACTGTGCCCACAACACTGATAGGAAATGCAGCCTTGGCCTGGGGATGCTCCTGGTCCCAGGAGCCACTTGTGAGGTGTGATAGGCTGTGTGGGGTGTGGAATAGAAGTGGCAGCAGGGAATGGGTGATGGGCAGGGGGTGATTGAGGTGGCAGCAGGGTCTGTGGGTGTATGTGATGGGTCATGGATGGCAGCAGGGGTGTGTGTGTGAGAGAGAGAGAGAGATGGTGGTGGGAGATGGGGGTGGGAGACGGGTAGGAGAGGCCACCAGACCTGGGCTTGGAGCCCTACTGCCCCCCTAGAGCAGCATCTGCAGGAGGATGCCAGCCTGGAAGGGAAGGGACTTGCCTAGCCCAGTACCTGAGCCCCAGTCAAGGGCTTCCCACAAATGGCATGGGGATCACTGGGGCCTGGACATAGGTGCAGAGAGAACAACAGTAAGGGCTGGCAGTGCTCAGAACCACAAAGCAGCTGGTGGGACAGCTGCAGCTGGACCCATATCCTGGTGCTGGGGTGAAGCTGCTGCCAGGAGGGAGTGAGTGGGGGACAGACAGGGGGTATGGGTCAGGAGTGAGGGGCACTGGTTGGGTTGTGGGTTGGGAGTGAGGGACAGGGGCAGGGCACTGGCATATCAGTGCTGCTCAGCATCATAAAACAGCTGCAGGTCCTGCTGAAGCTGTCTCCACATCTTGGTGAGCTAAGGGGGCAGGGACAGGGGCATCTCTGATTTTATATGATAAAAAACCAAAAGCAAATTCCAAAGTGTATCGATATTTAGAATTTATTTTATTATGATGATAGATGCACT